CCAAACCTCAGCTCATCCAAATCCCCAATAGCATTAACTCCCTAGAATTGGGCTGTAAATTTGATTAGCCTTACAACAGATATGAGACACAAATGTTCTTCCTTATACAGTCATATTAAGTGGCTGCAAAAGAAGATGATAAGGCGTTGTAGAGTGGCACATCCAACCTTTTTAAGTGAGGGACAAGCTCCAGCTCACCAGCTTTCAAAACTACATTTAAATACAGGGTAATTTCATGAATTCTGGTATAACATGGGGATTACATATAGTGAGGTGAGAGGGGATTTAGCAGCTGCAGTCTTCCTATAAATCATCCAGAAGCTTTTCTTCATACTTTAGTTCTCTTGATTGACACTTTCCATGTAAGCTACATCGCTGAACCTTAGCTTCTGTCCATGCCTGTTTAATTTGGTGCTTTTTTCATATATTTTCATTACTCTTGCACTGTCCTCTAACATGAAATTTGATGCTGTAACTCTTGGTGTGTTCCAATTTTACATGGAACTAATCAGAGCATTGGATAAAAATTTTTTCTTTAAACAAACTAAAGGTTATAGAGGCATCCTAGGGGAGATTTCTAGAAGTGAGAGTCAGGGACTAGAAAGAACAGTAAATTATGAGACCTTAAAGATTTCCAGATCAACAGAGTTGCAGCAGCTTCTCTAGTGAGCTGACAGTGTGTGCGATGGCATGACTCCCTGTGCTCCCCACGCGTGGCTATGGCAGCCAGCACCACCTGCAATGCCGCTCCTGGATTTCTGCGCTGCCGGGTGCTGCACACGATGGCTCTGCCTTGCCCTAACTTCTCCAGCCACCAGCGCCCAGTGGGCTGGGATGTCCATGCCTGGCCACATAGCTGGGAAGGAGCTGTGCGTGAGTGGTGCCACCCCGGCTCTGAAGCCAGGCACGGTGTATCTGATGATCTGAGAGGTCCTGAAGTACGTACCTCCTGCCAGGCCAGGAGTTGCAGAGTTTTGCTGTTACTGTTACCAGTTTATTGTGGGTTTATTTTCACTTCTTTCACTAGGTTGTTCTGATAACATATTTCTGGCGTAGCTTTGTATTCTGATCCCCTGGTTTTCGTTGTTGTTTGGACACAGTCCCATTTGGAGGGAATTTCTGAAATTAACCCTGATTCACTGATGAGTCTTTAAACAGAAAAGAAAAAGCTAGAGTGGTTTACTAGTTATGGAAACAAATTTCTAACATTGAGAGGAAAACCACAGATATATACAAATGGAAAATAAGAAACAGTTTTATGGCAATGAGAAATGGAAACATGGGAAAGTACCACTATGAATTTTGAGATCCAGTATTCCTTTTTATCTCTTAATTAGACAGTTTACACAGCAGTTGTTTTATAAATACATATTTGGCCCTACTAATGGAGATTTCACAATACTTCCTAAATAGTGCAGAACCATATGGTGCTCAGCTATGTGCTACTTAGTTTAGAGTAAATGGGAACCATTGTTTCCTCCTTATCTTTGATATTTTGTAGGACTTGGACACTATAACCAAGGCTCACGCATGTTGGAATTAGATCTTTTAATTGTTTTAATTAAGGTGCTTCAGTTTATCGTGTTATATCCGTTTTATGACAACACCCCCCACACACACCCCAGACACACACACCACCCACCCCCTGCGAACTGCACAGCAATGGTGACTCATGACTCATTAAGTCTTGAGAGATCTGTCCTCTTGGGCATGCAGGCCAGCTCTCTCCTCCGCCAGGGACAATATGGCTTGATCCTAAAGCTGCCTGCCTTCGTGCAGGTGCAGAAAGAGACCATTTGTATTTCTGGAGCTCACACGCTGTCCTTATGTCCACCAGCGCAAATGCCGTGTGCTGCGTCGAATTGGCCAGTCTGCCACTGCTTGGGTGGCTCTCAGCTGAAGTTGAAATTTCCCTCCTCACCAGCTGTCCCCAATTCCCAAACAAAGCAGTTGTACCTCCTGATGGTTTTACAGCTTCACAGGAACTGCTGAAATAAGCTAGCTCTTCAAACACCTGTTGAAGAGTCCTTATTCAAGTCCTCATAAATAACTACGGATAATGACAGCACACCTCCAGACCCTCTGACAGGGATGCAAAATAGCTGGGCCTCTCTGGCAATAACTGTTTTTCTGTTTCTTCAGTTTGGGGTCTCAAACGAGCAAGCGGCTTTGCCAAACTCTGGGTTTGTTTTGTTATTCAATGTTGTCACAACTGATAAAATTTATAGCCAAACTGCAAAGAGCAGAGAGCACCTTTTAGCAGCATCAGCTTGGCAGCTGGCTGTGGGTGCAGCTCGTCCTGCTTGTGCTACGGCAGGCAAGGACCTCTCTTTGCTCCCACAGTCTTTGCTCGCACAGGCAGACACTGATGGAGGGAGGTACTGACTTGAAGGAAGCACCCCGAGACGATAGTTGTTGATTCACAGATCACTCTCTTGATGGGAATTTACACACCTACAACAAAAGCTATGTAGACCT